TTAAGACTCTGGGTTGCCAAGAATGTGTCACCAATACATCATTTTCCTTTCACTATTTGTTATTTAAAAGACATGTAAAGAGAATAGTGGTTAAAAAAGAAATATCAATTTTGTTGGATTATAGCCAACGTAATAGCTTGAATTTACTTAAAGCCATCTTTCTCAGCTGAAATTCAGCAAATATTAAATGCCTAATATGCAAGTCACTGTGCTAGATGCCAGAGATACAAAGATAAAAAATTACACAATCCCTTCTTTCATAATTTGAATCTTCCTGAGGGTCAAAAGAGATTAAGATTTGACATGTACACAGTAAATAAGATATAAGGTAGGATATGATGAAGTCAAAGAAGAAATCCTGACAGAACATGCTAGGAAAATTTGACAGACTATTATCCACCTGAAATCTTTTTGAAAGACAAGTGTGTAATCCCAAACTTGTAGCTTTTGAAATATGTGTTTCATGAGATTTTTTTTAAAGTTGAACTTTAAGATTTATTCTTGAAAACTCTTCATCCAATAAAATTTGAGGAAGCTCACTATTAAAGTAAAAAAACATCTTTTGTTACCTTTTTCAGCAAACTAAAAAGTTGCATCTTGCTCCTTTTGCAACTAACAGTTAAGTTGTATTATCTTCCCAAACTTTTCAATGAAGAAAATTTATGATATAAAAACTTAAAGTTAATAGCTGCTTAAACTTATCTGTGTTACTTTGTAATTAGCTCACAATGATTAATTTGAATTTTATTTGGGCACAGCCAAGGTCATAGATGTCTGCTCTAACCTTCAAGTTTATCAAAAGCTAAACTTTCTTCTTTTACAGGAAAAAAGACATTACCTTAGAAGTATTTTATAATAAATGAAAAGGAATATGAGTTATAGAGCCGCAGGTCTTCTTGAAAGACCACATACACATTTCTCATTTTAAGTTATTCTTTTGTTTAGTTCTTAACCTCAGAGTATCAGGAAAACATAATTTTAATTTTGGTATATATTTAACAAACAGAACTGAGTAAATATATGCTTTTATATTGTATCATGTAAAAGATAACTTCCACATTATACACTTGTAATTTCAGTAGTCAACCCTGATTTTAAAGGATGACATATTTTTTAAATGAATTTTAGGTTCAGCGAGGTGGCACAGTGGATAGAATGCCAGCCATCTTTGTTCCTCTGGAGTGAGGAAGACTCTACTCTCAGACATTTACTAGCTGTATGACCCTAAGAATGTTACTTAACTTCCATCTGCCTCTGTTTTCTCATCTGTAAAATGAGGGTTAATAATAGCACTTGCCTCCCAGGGTTGTTGTGAGGATCAGATGAGATAAGTGTAAAGTGCTTAGCAGAAAGCTTGACAGATAGTAAACACTATATGCATGTTAGTTACTATCATCATCATTTTTATTATTAATGAAAAATACCTTCAAGTGGCAACCTTGAACTAGGGGTATTAAAGTTAAGTGAAGTTAAGGTTAAATTAAGGTTAGTCATTTATGTACATTACAGTCTAAATTAATGCAGTTATATATTTATGATTGATTTGTATGCTTTAGGAATTATTTTTTAGAGACGATAGTTAATGGAAAAGTCAGTAGTTAGTTTTCTATATTGGTTGTATCCTTATTATTAAATTAAAATTTTTATAGTGAACAAAAATCTTTTTTCTCTCCCTTCTACCACCTCCTTGTTTCCTCCTCTTCTCCCACTTTGAGAAAGAAAAAATCCTTTGTGACAAAAATACATGGTCAAGGAAAACAAATTCTTGCCTTGACTTTATCCAAAAATTATGTCTCTATGTATCCTGAGTCCATTACCGTTCCGTCAGGGGCATGTTTGATTATGGTTACTATGAAGTTTTGGTTGGTCATTATGTTGATCAGATCTCTGTAGTCTTTCAGAGTTGTTGATCTTTCCAGTGTTGTTGTCATATAAATTGTTCTCCTGGTTCTGCCCACTTCTGTCTTCATCTTTTTGTTTTGTTTTGTTTTATTTGGCTAGGCAGTGGGGTTAAGTGACTTACCCAGAGTCACACAGCTAGTAAGTGTCAAGTGTCTGAGGCTGGATTTGACCTCAGGTCCTCCTGACTCCAGGGCCAGTGCTCTCTTCATCAGTTTTTAAAAATCTTAACAAGTTTATCAGAAAGTGCCCCCTTCCTAATTTCTTATAGCATAGTAATATTCCGTTATATTCACATAACATAATTCATTCAGCCATTCCCCAATTGGACACCCACTTTGTTTCCAGTTCTTTGCTGCCACAAAAAGAGCTGCTTTGAATATTAATGTTCATATGGGTATTTTTTCCTCCTTCTTTGATATGACCCTAGTAGTGATATTACTAGTCAAAGGGTATACACAATTTAATAACTTTTTGAGCGTAGTTCCAAATTACTTTCCAGAATTGCTAGACCAATCAATTCACAATGCTTTATCACTCAACAGTGCATTTAATGTGCCTGTTTTCCCTCCTGTATCTTTAGTTTTTAAATTTTAATTTATATTGCCTTCATAAGCACTAGAGTCATAATGATTGTTTTACAAAATTCTGCATAGAAAACTTTACAGGGGAAATAAGCTTTTCTTTTCTTTTGAAAGTAAGCTTTTAGTTAAACTGTTGCTTACCTGTTGCTCATCTCATGAAGATTTGCTTTTGTTTTACTTCAGGAAATTGGAAGGACAAGAATATAATAAATTAGCTAATGGAACTTATTAAAGTAGGAAACTAATATGGCATCAGTAATTATCCATTTCCAAATTACTTTCATAATTTACATTGACTATATATTCTTGACTTTTACATATGAAATTGAAGTATATTTGAGTATTAATAGCTTTTTAAAAATCATTAATGGCTATTAAATATCATTTATAGGAATTATTAACATGGAGTCTGAACTTTTAAAAATATAGCTATATTTCAATATATTTCAATAATTGAATATAATTTCGATACAATATATGTTCAACATAATGCAATATAATATAATAATTCAATATAATCCTGTGCATTTTATTTCACATACCAGACTATAAGAGACCTGTGGCACAAAAAAAGACTAGGAACCCTGTTCTATTATATATGACATAGTCTAGGCAAAGTAAACAATAGAAAGAAATAAAGTTTTTCTTTGTATATGTGGCGCATAGCACCCCCAGAAAAATTGCTCCAGTTTTAAGGTACTCTATAGATCTTCATCTTTAACATATGAGTTCCCACTAATGTGTTGACTTGTACTGGTCATCTGGAGGACAGAAGTAAGTTAAAGTAAAGGTTTTTTAATTAAGTATTATAGTAACAAAGGTAGAAATAGAACATTATTCCCATAAACCTAGAGGACACTCCACCACAAATAAACCATTGAAGGGAAGAGTGACCATGTCTAGGGAACACAGGTGGGCAGGCATAGACATATGCATCATATGTAGCTAGAAAGCATGTTTCTAGAGGCAGTTGTCACCTTTGGTAGTACAGAGCCAGTGATATCTTCTGATGATGTTATATTGCTGTTCCTACTAGACCTAATCTACTCCCCTCTGGCTTCATATGACATGTCGTTTCTGCCTGAAATGTAGTATTCTGGCTAGTACTCTGTTGTCTTAGGGAAATTGTTCTTTTGATCACATGTTCATTGTTCTGTTAGGCACATGATTGAGGCATTTTTCTACTACAAGCTTCTGGGCTTTTTTTGGGAGCCTCGTTTATCTGGAATGTCCAAAGAGGCAAGAAAAAGCAAAAACTGAGAACAAAATCTTAGGAAAGGCTTGTATTTAAGCATCAGAAAGAGATGGAGTCATCACAGGCATGGAGAGAAAACAATAAGAACATAGTGTCATTCAAGCCAGTGGAGAAGAGACTGACAAATATGAGAGGATGAGGAATTGATTTAAGGACTAGACAGAGGTCTAGGAGGATGATAATTAGTCATTAGTTCAGGCAATTAGAAAGGTACAGGAAACCCTCAAGAGAAAGTTTTTGGTGATTTAGTAGGACCAGGAGCCATATTTTGAGAGATTAAAAAATAAGTGAATGTTGATGTAAAAGTAGGAGCATCACATATAAACTGTTCTTGGTCAGTTTACTAAGTTCTAGGTAAAATAATTCATAAAGTATATGGTAATAACAGCAAAATTTTCTTGATGCTTGAAATTGTGGTGATTTTTACACTTAAGTCACTTGATAATTTTTTAAAAATTATTTTGTTAAAGTATATTATTTTATCATGTAATTTTCCATTATTTTGTTTTAGTTTAATTTAATGAACATTTGAGTACTTGACATTTACATGGCATATTCATCTAAACTAAATGAACAGAAAATGAGAATGAAAAAGCAGCCATTTATCACTTGATAAAGAAGCTCTTATCTATCATGATTCATATTACAATAAATTTAGTAGATTTATATTTGCTTTATCATCTTTGTAGCTTCTTTTTTTTATTGCACAGTATTATTGACTCTCAAGATTTATAGTCAGTTTAGGACAGTGTCTTTAGGTTCCAGTTAACTTCTCTGAAAAAAAGTAGAATGTATGAAGGAGTTTATACCTCTATTCTCTCTAAAAACACTATGGAAAGGTTATTTTTCTTCATGGAAGAAGGACTTTAGTCTATCATTAATTATATGTGACTATTAAAATTCATCTGTTCTATATCCAGCTTTTAAAACGTGAATGCATTTTTGAGAGCTATTAGTGGGATAGAATACTTTAGACCTTGTAAGTTGTTATTATGGTTTACAGAATCAGTTGATTATCACTGCTTCTGAGGCCTTAAAATATATTTTCAATGTAGTGTCTTGTAGAAAAATTTTGAATTCCATTTTTAGAAAATGTAAATTCATGACTTAAGGCTTTGTAACTAAATAGTTAACGTTTCTGGAGAACCTAAGATTTTGGCCTAGAAACTTATTTAATTTGGTCTCTCATGTAATTTTTTTCTATGAATAGTCTAATTTTGTTTCTTAAAAATATTAAACTGCTTTTTTGAAATCATTACCAGGATCAGCCAAGATCTGGCTCTCATTGCTCGAGAAATCAATGATGTAGCGGGAGAGATCGACTCCGTAACTTCATCGGGCACTGCCCCTAGTACCACAGTAAGCACTGCCGCCACCACCCCTGGTTCTGCCATAGACACTAGAGAAGAGGTAGGAGATCTTCATGGAGAGATGCATAAGGTTCTTCCTTTTCTTGATTTCTTTTGCTTTTAGCTTTTTGCAGAGTTTGTTTCAGCTATGCTTTCCCTCTTCGTGTGCATGAACCTCTGCATTTTCCTCCTTTGCGTTAATATATTCCTTTTACATTTCTTAACAAAACTAGTGAAGGCTGATGTCGGATCCATGATGACTCTAAAACCTTAGAAGGTATTATATCTTAGAACATGCATCTTGTTCATCAACCATTAGTTACTCGTCCATGATTCATGTAAAAGTGAACATAAAAAAGCATCTGAAAATGGGTGCATCTGAAAATATTTGAAGTTGAGGTTTTTTAAAAGCATAAAGTTGACCTCTACACATAGCCTTAAATAAGAAAGTATGTTATGAAGAGATAATCAAGAAATCCCTCATTATTAATACTAAAAGAAAGAAACAAAAATAAATATGAGTTTTCTAAGTTCGCAGGTTCTAACTTAATTTAGATTTGCTCGAACCATATTTTATGTTGTTCTACTTACTCAGCTTTATGAAATGCTTTGTTAAATTACAGTTTAAAATGGCTAATAATTTTGACAGATTTAAATCCAGTAAATAAAATATTGCTATTTTTTCTAATTGCCTTTTTTATGCTACTTTTTGTAGTCTTGTTTTTAGTGTTGACCTTTTTGTTGTTGTCTCGTCCCTAACTATATGGCAAATAATGTTTGTTTCATTTTTTTGTATTGTTTTGTTACCATATTAGTCACCTATAAATGTATTGAGAATGAAATTATCATTTTTGTAGAAAATAAAGGTGGCAAGACATATGCAGTTTTTATGGTGCATTGTAAATGAGCAAATATTATTTTCTTATGCGCATAACTGAATTTCACCTAATGACATAAATATGCATTTTCATAGTCCCCGTAAAACTAATCTCATTCCGTTTAATAAGGCCTTTTTTCCATTTTGTTTTCTGTCAGAATCTGAATTGCTGTGTAGTTTGTGTACATAATTTATACTGTAGATGGCAGTATCTCATTTTAGCTAGGTGTATCTTTTCTGTAAAATTGTAGGTCTTACTAGTAAAGACTAAAGTACCTGTTTTGTAGATTATTCTTTAATTTTCCTTTTATCAATTGGAACTTGCAATTTAATGTATCTTATGAAGAGAATTGGCAGCACCATTTGGGGGAGAAAAAAGAAATAAACTTATTTTACCCTGATAAAGCAATGTGAGTAAAATTAACTCATTGTCTATGTATATAAATCAACCTTTATTTTATCTACCATCTGTTTTCCGCATGGGGGCAATCACATCATGGGAGGATAACATTTTATATATATGTATCTATATAAATATAAATATTTCTATATAGAGAGATGTATATATATATATATACACACACACACACATATATACATGTATTTTGGATATTTCAAAATCAGAATCCATATATTCTTGTAAAGAATTGTATAATTCTGTCATGTAAAAATAAATGCGTGTTAAAGCACATATAAAATAGAATAATAGGATTATTGGCGATCTCATATTTCTATTATTAAGAAAAAATCAGTCTAATAAAAATCATAGTATTACTATCAGTTAATTTACTAAAAATTATAGTTTCCTCACAGCTATCCTTTTCTCTGTCCTTTTAGTTGGTTGATCGTGTGTTTGATGAAAGCCTCAACTTCCGAAAAATCCCTCCACTAGTTCATTCTAAACCACCAGAAGGAAACAATAGACCTAGTGATTCCAGGCCTCAATTAACAGAGAATCCAGAACACTTAACAATTACAAGGCGGAGAACATGGAGCAGAGATGAGGTGAGTATGTCAGTCTAGAGAAACATTTGATTAAAAAAGAAGAATAACCTAAAGGGAATTTATAATGAAACTCCAAGCTGAGATCTAATCAGTGTAGTCATTTCCTTTGGTGCTGTAGATCACAGCCTGTCCATACCTGCCCATGTGTGGTTCTTGTCTCAGGCCTTCCGTATATCTGCCACTGAGGGTGACCCAATGTTTTGGACCTTCCTCTCATTCTTTCAGTATTGAATGGATACTATTTTAAGGGTATATCAATTGATTGCCCCTTGTTCTCACCATATGATGGGCTGACATTTTTTTCAGTCTGTATTTCTTTGACAAACAACTCTTCTACATGATTCCACGTTTGAAATGTTTTGTAGTTTGCTCAGGCCAACCATGTGCTTCTCCATTATCTTTCAGTTGATCAACTCTTTAGAATATGTAGTATTCCATGCTCATAGCCATATAGCAACACTGGAAAAATATTGCTGGTACAAAGATGATCATTTATTTCACAGAGAAATTTGGTGGCATTAAAAGCACCGCACATTTTCTCAATGGCAATCCAGCCTATTTTCCTCTTCCAGTTTAATTCAAACATGGCTCTTTGTCCGTTTAGCTGTCTCTCTTTCACATGTGTGTGACACACATATACATATATACACGTGCATACATACATATATATTCACACACATATTGTACTGACAGACAATTTGCTCTTTGGGCTTTCCATCCAGTTAAATATCTGAGCAATAAGAATTCTTCATCAACTTACGTTTTCCCTTGTATAGATCAGCAGAATTTTTTGAGTAATTATGGATGTCATTTAGGAGGTTTTGCAGGCAGGTTGTTGCAATCAGCAGTGTCATCCGCAAACAGGAACATCTGCAGAATCCACACAACAATAAAAAATCTCTTTGGCAAGCATGTGTGTCTTTTTATCTCTTATTTGATATAAGTAATCAGAATCACTGATTAAAGTCCCATTTGTTGTCCTATCTTTTAAGGGACCGTATGTGATTTATGTATGTGTGTGTGTGTGTGTGTGTGTGTGTGTGTGTGTGTAAACGTCATCTTGCTAAAGAAGAGCTGTTAAGATGATATTTTACTTTGCCAAATCAATGCTTTTTAAAATAAAAATAATAACAGTTAACATACAATAAATAGTAAATGTAGTAGGTCTTATATTCTCTCTACTTTTCAGTCAGCTTTATAACTATAACTATGTGGTTTGCCACACAATATCATAGAATCATAGATTTGAAACTAGAAAGGACCTTAGAAATCATCTAGTCCATCCCTCTTATTTTGCAGATGAAGAAATTAAGGCCCAGAAAGGTTGAGGGCTTTTCTCAAGGTTACATAGAAAGTAGCAGAAATAAGATTTGAGCCAAGGTCCTTTGACTCCAAATCCAGTGTACTCTGTACCATACCATTATTCTTTATTTCTCATATTTTCATCAAGGATACCCTGGATGTATGTTCAGATATTCTCAAAAAAACATTTTGGAGAAATGAGATGGTAGGCTTGTGAGTCAATAGTTGATAGTCTGTGTCACCCATTTGGGGTAATAAGGTCTGAGACCATTGTTCATAACAAAATACCACTTTATAGGCTCTTTTACAATACATAATTCAGTATCCCTTGGAATATCTGACAGTAGAAAGAACCTTATTCAATGACCCTCACATAATAAATATCAGGTAGCACAGATAATAGGGACACATATTCTCTCCAAACATATTTGTGACTTTGATGAGAGCAGAGTCTGGGTCAGGTGATTTACTTTGAATGGTGATTTCTTCCATAGCTCTCATTTCTTTTCCAGTACTTCAATTTCATTTATAAAAATGTTTTTTTAACTCTTGCTTCAGTGTTATGGAAATTCTAGTTGAATTTTTGGCCAGACTGTTTTACTCTGAGGCTTTGTTTGTGAATATTTAGGGATTGTTCTCTTTCTCTGGGTTTGTGTCTTGAGCTTCCCTGCCATGATAACAGATCTTTATGGTAAGATTCATTTTTGGTTGCTCATTTTTCCAGACTACTTCTTCACTTTAGTCTTGATGTTTGGGCTGGGCCATTTCACCTTTTTGGAGGGAAGTTCTGGACTGATCCTGATGCTACTTTCTTGGGGTATTGAGTATTGTGTTTTTTCAGGATCTCAGGGATAGGCTGGGTACTTGCAAGGTCCCGTACTCCCAAAATGCTCTAATCAAGGGCCACATCTGATTGCTGCCTCTCAGCAAGTTCCTGCCCTGAGTTTGGGTTTGAGCAGTAGTAGACTACTGCTGGGCTCAGTCCCATTCAGCCAGCTGGAAAACTGTTGGCTCAGAGTGGCAGACTCATAGGCTTCCATTTGGTCCCCTTTGCTACTCTTTTGTGGGCTCCATTAGGTGCCAGAACTGTGAACCTGCTTTGCTCCTGGGATCTGAGCCACACACCTGCTGCTAGCATCAGAACTTCTTCCTTTCTAGGTATACCAGTATAGTGCCCATGTCCTCTCTACCAGGAAACTACCCCTGTACACAAGTTGCCTTCTCGGACCACCCTGTATCAGTGGCCAGAGGTAATGGGTAATGGGACAACAAAGCTGCCAGTTTTCACCTGTCCTTGACGTGGGTCTGGTAGTGTGCAGCACAGATCTGGAGACTACCCTTGCCCTTGTGTACAGCCCCTCCTTCTGCTCTACAGTGCTTTTCATGTGGTGTGCTCCTGGCCCAACCCTGTCCGCAGTGTTCACAGACCTCCCTGCACCCCATGTACCAGCTTGAGCTAGACAAATACTTTTAACTTTTTCTGGATTTCCCCATCAGGATTTGGTCTGGTACATTTTATAGATCTGCTTGGCTTAGTTTTGTGGAGGGGAGCTCAGCTGTACTGCTTCTTACCACTAACCCATCTTGGTTCCATATCTCTAGCAGCTTGTTTCAATAAGTTAAGCTGGAATCATTTTCATTCACATCATTTTTTCCCCTAAGTTTTTATTTTATTCTTTTGGTTTTGTTAATTCTCATCTTTTTTTGAATGAATTGGTGGTCTGACTGTACACAGACAGCTGATTCAAGAATGACTTCAATAACAAGTCATTTTCCCCCTGACAAAATACAGTCAATTTAATTTTTGTTATGTTATTTTGCATTCTGTATAATACCTCCTGACTTATTTTTCACAGAAAGAAAATCATGAATTTTTAGGCATGAGACTTCCATGTAAACCAGACATTTGGCCTTTCTCCTTCCTTATTACTGAACTGCTTTCCAAGATGTTTTTAGATCTCTGCCCCTATTAACCTTTGTATTGAAAACATGTTGGGTAAAAATATAAGTGATTTAATATGGAAGATCATACTGAGTTTTTCATAGAATTTCTCTGCCTCATTATTCTCTTCAACAGATGTTGGCACAGGATCTGTAATTGTTTTTTATGGTATTCCTTTTGTAAATGCTTTTTTTTAGCCCACAGTACAAGATGCAGGTGTCCCATGAAATGATGTTTGTTGTTGACTTTGGAAAGGCAACCAAGCATTTATTAAGCATTGCTGCTATGCTGTGTGCTGTGGATACAAACACAAACAAAAAAAGATAGTTTTTGTCCTCAGGGAGCTTATAGTCTTAGTAGGAGAGTAGACAGAACATAAAAGGGAAATGAAAAGTGAGGGAGGAGGTAGAGGAAGGAAGAGATTGGATTGTGGGAGGAGGTGAGATGATATCAAAGTGCAGAAAATGAGATCCAGACCAAGAAGGGAATGAAGTTTAGCCACCGTGAGCTTCTTCCCAAAATGGAGGCCTGGATAGGAATTCATCAATAGGAGAAGAGGACTGGTATAGAGGAAGGATGTTCCAGGGTGAGGAGGACTCAGAATAGAATGGTTGTCCTATTCTAGGGAGATCCCAGGCATTGAGGGAAGAGTTCAGGGTAATAACTGTAGCTGTGGCACGGGGCAAAATCTGGAAGCTTAAGAAGCAGAGCCAGGAGGTTGGCTGGCCTGGGCCCCACCCCAAAATGGAGACCTTGAGAACTCAACAATGGGATAAAATGGACTCTGCCAACCCCATTAATAACTTCTACAGGGAGAAACTCTAAGCCATTTTTTCATTTACTTTTAAATTCCTTTTGTCTTCTGGCTTCCTATATAGCATTGACATAGTTCACTTTCTCCATTAATAAATCTATCTGCTCCTTAATCATAGGACAGGGATCTCACACTTAAGACTGCAAACAGTTTCATTAATGCTTATAGACAGTCTGAAAACTATGGTTTTTAGCATCTCCTACTTTTTTTTTTCTCTCTGCCACCATTAATACAGAAGCAAAAAGAGATTGAGGATTGTTTTATTTTCTTCTTGACTTCCTAGGGTGCTACTGCCAAAGAACATATCACTTAGATAATGAGCCTTTACAATTGCCTAAATTAGCCCTGGAAAACAGGTCATACTTGTAACTTTTCTAGTAGAGTGTGCAAGAATTGAACTCCTTTGGCAAAACCTTTAAGAACTCGTACCAGGGTTGTTCCCATGCCAGAATCAAGTGTCAGACTTTATGGAGAGGCTATAATTGCACCTCCTAGGTATTAGGATGAGATTAAGGAACAAGGAAACTAAACAAGTTATAGGTAAACTTTCTCTAGAATGAGTGATACTTTCAACAAAAGGAGAAAATACTGCTTATTTTTCTGACCATTTAATTTTATAAAGCATATATAACTATACACACGCACACACACATATTGTTTAATCGTAATCAAATGGTTAAGCCTATTGATTGAATGTTTTGTAATCCCCAAATGAAGAACATATACCAGAAGTGTATTCCTATGTATTCCTCACTATGACTTATTCATTGAGCTGTGCCCTCCTTCCTATTCCTTCTTATCTCTTCCAGGATCTTGCTGTAACAGCCATCTTTGGTTCTCCTAGATCTTCAGCCTCCTCCATTCAACTGGTTCTCACATGATCTTTTATAAACATGCTTAGGTTTCCCAAATCGTAAAAGAATCTTCTTTAGCCATAAAATC